TGATTCTTCCACATTTAACGTACTGTGTTGAAATATGGGGAAACGCTTATCCTACCCTTCTTGAAGCGATTCTACGACTCCAAAAAAAAAAAAAAAATTGTGCGGCTTATCACTTTATCAAAATGGTACTCGCATGCTGCACCACTGTTCCGTTTTCTTCAAATTCTGGACATTCACAAACTATGTAAATTTCACTCTTGTCTATTTATATTCGATATAAATAAAAATCGTTTCGCACGCTGTCCCGAGAACTACATCAACATTCCTTCTCATAATTATCTTACTAAAATAAATAGCATAATAAGCATAATAAGTGGCAGCCTCTCTATACCAAAAACAACATTTTCTATAACCCAGCATAACATAAAGTTTGCATCAATTAAAGGGGAGCAGAGGTGTGGCTTTTGATACTCTGTACATGAAATTTGAGATCTATGAATGAATTCTGTCGATAAAAACAACTTGTATGTGCAGCGAAATGCCCTAAATATCGGGTATAAAACGGACTGTGAAGCAGACAACAAACTTCTGCTTTTCTTGGCGTTATTTCGGCTCTAGAGGGACAGTCAGATGATGTCATCAGTGAACACTGATAATTGAACCCATTCATGCTCGTACTTCAATCCCATAGAAATGCTACGATGAAAGACCTTGATAACTGACTACTTAAAATTTGAAACATGGCGAAATGTTGTGCGTATGAATGCCATAACGATTCATGTTATGTTTCTCAAAATCCCAGAAAAAAAATCACGTTGTTGGTTGCGAGAAATCGGCAGAAGAACCAACCTGAAAGTGAAGACACGTACAGCGCTCTAGCTATAGTAAACAGTGAGTAAATAAATATTGTTTGAGTTAAAAACTAAATTAGAAATACGCTAATATCTGTCATGAATTTGTTTTTGCGTATCTGTTAACCGACTTTATTAGCTGATTATTAGCGAATTGCTGTGTTATGTCTGTCATCGTTTAGGTCTATTTGAAGTTTTGGACGGAACTTGGCTCAGTGATTTGGAACTAATTACCAGATAACCGCCGCTTTTTAGACTACTCATTTTGACAGTTTATATCCGTAGTTATTAATGTAGTGAACGATTAATCAAAAGATATGACGTATTCAGTACTTAGTGTGATTGGCTTTATGATTGAAGGTTACGCCCTAGAGTCTTTTTACTGCTTTGTAATTGGTTAGAGTTGTGAAGATGAATAAAGAGAGTTTGAGTTGGTCTTGAGGAGCACAGCACGATAGACGCAGTAGAGAGAGAGTGCAGTCGAGAGTCGAGTCCTGGGGCGAGCCTTGAGGCATTCCAGTCTTGGGCGAGTCTTGGTTCAGCCTTGCGAGAGTCTTGGGGACTTTTCCCCAGGGCGCTGTGTCTTATAGAGTGCTCCAAAAGATCGACTAAGACGAGAGTTGAAACGTATTTCGTTGTGTGTGCCTTATTTGACTGTAAAGTATAAGTGACTTTCCCGATCCCGTACCTCAAGGGGACGAGATACAGAGACGAGACGAGTTCCCCCCCCCCTGACACGTGTGGAGAACCCAGAGAGTACAAGATTTTCTCCCTGATATATCACTTGAACTACAGTAATCATTTCGCCCAACTTCCCACTTTTAATCGACCGCTTATCGCTTAATTTCCGACCGCACTGTATTTTCTGACCGGAAAACGACCGCATTTTATCGTAAGCTTTCTCTCACCACTCATTGAAAACACCGACCGGTCGCCCAAACACTGGTCACTTGCACAGGAGTGATCGAAATAGTGGTTTTGAGTGATACAGTTTGGGGATATAACGGGTACTAACTATTTTTAAATTCCGCACTACTCTTCAAATCTATACCACATTGTATCGTTCGCGGACGAAACTTCACCTGTGTCCAATATTAAATAACCGAGTTTGCGTAATTATTATGAAAGCGATATATTACAATGTTGAATTTTTTAGAGCCGGTACAACACTGTAAACAAATTTACGTAATTAGAAAAGCAGCACACTAAGTAAACGACCTCAAAATATACAAGTTTGCGTACAGCACCGTCAGAACTAATAACAATTTTACAAGATCGACGCGCGGAGCATGAAAGAAAAAGATTGCTAAGGTAACGCGCCTGTTCAGTGCGTGACTTGGGGGTCAAACTTCGGTCAACACACACTTGATATCAGCATCGCCGCGCAGTAAGTTACGCAATGAAGTACTTAAAGTTCTATTGCGTCCCAAAATG